GACAGAGTTATAATAAAACACTACTCAGTTCCATATAAAAGTGAAGAAATCTGTTATCTATTTAGAAAGAAGATTTCTCTATTTTGGCTAACTGTCACGCTTTATAATAATATTTTTAATATAAATTAATTTTTAATAGACTTTATCTTTTAGATCAGTTTTAGGTTCAAAATGGGACAGAAAGTACTGAGTTTTTATATACCTCTTGCTCCCACACAGGTGCAACTTCCTCCACTATCAAGACCCCACACTAGATTTGTTACAATTGATGAACTTACATTGACTGACATATCATTAGCACCCAAGTCCATAGTTTACAACAGGGTTCACTTTTGGTGTTGTACATTCTATATAGGTTTTGACAAGTGAGTATACTATGATATGTATCCACCACCGTAATATCATACAGACTTGTTTCACTGGCCTGAAAGTCCTCTGTGCTCTGCCTATTCATCCCTTCCTCCTCTCAACCCCTAGCAACCACGAATCTTTTTATTGTCTCCATAGTTTTGCCTTTTCTAGAATGCCATATAGTTGGAATCCCACAGTATGATTTTCAAATTGGCTTCTTTCACTTACTAATATGCATTTAAGGTTCTTCCATGTTTTTTTCATGGCTTGATAGCACATTAATTTTTAGAACTGAATAATATTCCATTGTCTGGAGGTACCACAGTTTATTTAGTCACCCACTGAAGGACATCTTGGTTGCTTCCAAGTATTGGCAAGTATATTTTGGATAACGATCTTTTATCAGATATGTCTTTTGCAAGTATTTCCTTGAGAGTGTCTCTTGTGAATAAGGAGTCTTAATTTTATATCAATTAATTTTTGCCCCCAAAAGTGCAAAATGTTAACAGGCTACTAAGTGCAAGTTTTTCTCTTCCCTCAGAATTGGCCATTAGGGCCCCAATATTGAGATAAAGAAGCTGGAGAATTAATAACTGGAGCCACCGTCTCTTTCAAGGCTTACTAAGGGACAAGTAAATGGCTCTGCTTCTCTCAACTGTCTCCCAGACTGTGCCCTCCCCTTCCCCAATGAAGTCTAAAATAGGAAGACTGGACTGGAAAAGAAGAATCAGGAAATCATCAACACAGTGAGGCAGCCTTGTCGAGGGTGGAAGGGTATAATGCTGCTGGTTTTTCATCGATTCCCCTAAGAACACACCTTTTACTACTGAACCAAGTGCAGGGGCTGCCAAGAAAGCCCTTCTTAAAGCTGGGGACGGGTGCCTGTAGTACCTGAATGCCGCAATTTCCAGCTTTGACGCCTGCATATGCAGTGGCCTTGCTAGCCTACCTCCCGTGCCTATTTATACTGAAGAGGGAAAGGAAATGCAAAGAAGAGAGAGGGCACAGTCCTGGGACAACTCTCCATGGGCCTGGGCCGAGTGAACTCGCGGGCCGTGGTCAGGTTTGCGTTGCCATATTCCATGCACGAGGGCAGGTTGCTAAATGAGCAGACCCAACAACAGGAGGCTGGGGTATTTGCATAACTAAGATCTTCCTGGAGTGAATCTCCCATATCAATGACTGTGTCAAGAGGAGGTCCCAAGGGCTTCGAAAACTCTCATGGGGATGCTGACCTCACAGAGGGCCTCATCCTTCCAGTCCACCTGAACCAGGAAAGAGTTAAAATCTTACACTAAAGACTATTAAATATCAGAGACTCATCCTTTTCTTCTCCTTCCTCTCTGCCCTGAATCTCCCCAAACTGTAGTTGTTTAGGAGAGAGAGATATAATCCCAGAGACATACCATGCCCCTATCCTTCTGACCTCGAAACCTCCTATCTAACCTGTGAAGTCAGAGGAGACAGATTTAAATGGATCGAAATTAAGTTTTTTATAACACAAAATCAGTTGTGTTTTGTTTTTGTTTTTGTTTTTAATAGAAAAAAACTGACCAAAAGATCATTGTATCTGCCCAAGGAAAAGGGAAATTTGACAAAGCTTAAGTAATCAGAGAAGAAAACAATTGTTACTTCCATGTATAAGCCCCAGGCAAGTTACTACTGGTTGGTAAACTCATTAGTCAAAGTAAATGAAATAATATGATATTGCTGTTAGGAAAAAGTGCTCCCCTAAAGTGGTCACAAGTGAAAAAATGAAGGAGGAAGACATTAAATATAAACTTTTACATGATATTTTTGATTAATAGTTAGGAGACCCTGAATCAAAGAGCAAACTATACAGGATCCCTTTGAATGCACTCAGCACAGCAGATTGATGGTTATTTCAAAGAAAGAGAGGCATGGGTTTTGGAATTAGAAAGACTTAGATTCAAATACCAACTCTGCTATTTGCTACTTCTGTGACCTCTCAGAATCCTTATGGAAAAGAGACACAATAATGCCTCCTAACAAGGTTAGCATAAGGATTAATGTGACAAGCATAATACCTAACAGATAGATGATAGGTGCTCAAAGAATGGTGGCTATTGTCATCAGCAGATTTTTCTTCACCATTTATTTATCATTAACATCTTTTATTGTGGTTATTTATCCAGAGAAGCAAGAGCACTGGTAAAAACATATTCGAGTTGAAATTTAGGCTTAAGTAAAACAAACAAACAAACAAACCAACAAAACACTAAAAAATTTATAGTTCAGGGTAAACGAAATTTCTCCAAATAGCTAACATTTGACAATAACTTAGGTTCCCTAGTTGAGGGACTACTTTCCAGTTAAGAAAAATATAAGAGAATTAAGATTCAGCCCACCTCCTGTGGCTTACCACGGTGTATCAGGACTAGAAGGGGACTTAATAAGGCCGAAAGGAGCTAAATGATTTGCCTGAGACAGTCTGATGCCACCTCACCCCACCCATTCTTCATATACTCCGTCTGTTCACTTATTAGCTGTTTCAGTCATAGCATATATTTAAATGCCACTCGATTTCATCTTTGCCTTTTAAGAAAGGCACCTAACTAAGGTGTCAGTCCTGTTTCCTCTGGTCTTTATACTTCATCTAGGTAGAGCGCTTGGCATCAGCCGCATGTGAGCCAGCCAGCCAATTCGGTCCAACCTGACATTGTACTGAACTACCAGATGCCATTTAATTACAATTTATTTGATGGGTGGTCATTGTTCCTTTCCACCCTTGACCATTTTTCTCTTCATTCATCACTCTCTCCATTTGGGGCAGATGGCAGATATGAACAAATTGCCAAATTTGATTAATTCCACTTTGTTTTTCTTTAGAATATCTTACAATGGTTTTCCTGAGGAAAATCAATTAAACTATTGACTTAAATACTATTTGGGAATCAATTAAAATTCCAATGAACTGTTCCATCCGGGTTGTTCATTACTGCTCTTGGGAAATATTTGTAATGATGAGAAAGTATGTCTCCTATCCTCATGTTTATTCTCCTTCCAGTCTAGGATCCACCTTCAGACATTGGCCCTGGACCCTCTACATCCAAGAGTTAACCTCTTGGTTGGTCACATCTTGGCTCTGTCTGCCCAAACCATTTTCTTGGCCACAGAGAGCTTATCACTGACATTCCCCTTCTCTCCCCATCGCAAGAGCTAACATTTACTAATGCTTTATTATATGTCAGTCACTCAGCTAAGTGATTTGACTGCATTATTTCTTTAAATCCCATGAAGTAAACAATATGGTTCTCTTCTTTAAAAAAAAAAAAAAAAGGAAACTGAATCTTAGAGAACAAAGCACTTCGTGCAAAGCCACGGGAAATTCGAACCCAGGTCTGTGTGACAGGCACTGCTTCTTCATCTAAGCAGCTCTGAGTCTCCTTCAGAGCCAGGCTCTTTTTCTGAACCAACCGTCCTCCAATGAGATAAACAAGCTAGAGAAACCCCACACATTTTTCTGAAAAGTGAGGTTCTCCAACATCTGCAGCTTTTACAAAATAAAGATCCCCAGGGACACCGCCCCTACCTTCAACTTCCTAAATCAGAATCACTAGAAGTTAAGACACAGGAAGCAGTCCTTGAACACTTTACATATTTAAAAGTTCGAGACCCACTACCCTGTAGCTATCTTCTTTGACACCAAAAGTCTCCTTTAACAAAGCTTTCCTGGAAACTATGCCCTGACCCCTGGTGGTCTAAGCCAAAAGCGTGACTCTGCCCTATTGAGGAAATGCTCTGTCATATGCCCACAGTTCACTTTTGGGCTAAAACTTATTTGATGAAGCTTCAGCTGACGCAGGATGAGCTCTGATTACCTTATTCATGCCTATCTCACAGAAAGTATGTCAAAGTAACTAGTGCGTTCACCTTTTCTGGCAGCAGCTACAAAAAGATACCTTTTGGATCAATAAGTATTTATTGATTGTCTCTTAGGAGATGATACAGAGCTGAAAGGACAGGATTTCTATTCTTAGAAAGGTCTGCATGGATATAGATTTAAAAGAAATAATCAATTCTCTCTCTTTTTCTTACACACAGACACACACACACACACACACAGAGTAAATTTCCATGAGCTGCCTTACCCTGTCTTTATCATTAGAATATTATGTTTGAGCTCTACTGCTTAGCCAATTTAAACTTGGATTCTCACCAGCTCCCTCTTTTCTTTTCAAAAGAAAAGAAACTTTAACTTTCTTGACCAGTTTTTTTCCTTTCCCCTTGCAATGATATCACACTCCTGTATTTATTGGACCTCTCTGGTTATTACCAAAAATTGTCTGGATGTCATAAACTCCACATTTGTCCTGATAAGAGACATGCCCATTATCAAATCCACTGACCATACAATATAAAAAAAAAGAAGAGTCCTAGTAACAAGAATAACAACAAAAACACAGTAGTAGTCCAGAATATTTAGGGGAAAAAAACCTAAAAGCCAACCAGCTTACTCGTTAAACGCTTGAATAATGAATTCCCAGCAACAATTCCCTCAATATTTTATTTATCTTAATATTCAGTACTACAGTAAAACTTATTCACATCTTCCCCTCCTCCACATCAGAGAAAATAACGATAATGCATAATAAGAATCAACCCTCACATTTCAAACCCACACTTACCATAGAACTTCAGTTCTCAAATGAACTTTAGTTGGCAAATCTCTGACAGTGATTCCTGGTCGCCAAGTCAGAGCTTATGAGGTTTTGTCTCTTCTGCTCTAAGTGAATTTACAGCCCCCTGCAATGCAACAGGATACTGATCTTTTGAAAAGGAAATTCAATCCCACCCTAATTAATGCTGCCCTCCTCCTCTTTCCCAGAGGGCACTCCTATTTATTTACTGCAGGACAGGGACAAACCGTCTAGTATCAAATACCTTACAAATAAAAGAGAAGAAAACAACAACAATTCAGTAATGTCTACGTGATTCTCAAGCCCTATACAAATGGAAAATCAGGGATCTTCCTTCTGTATTGAATCAAGTGGGGGGGAAAAAAAAAGCTATTTCTTATCTGGAGTCACTCCCGAATAAATGTTCCACATACGGCTTCTATGGGGACGCTAAGCATTCAGATTTTCAAATGCTCCTTACTATAAGCTAACTACAAGTTTTACTACATTTGGTTTTGTTTCAGATTAATAATGAGTACAATTTAATTAGAGGGAAGATTCCTGCAATCATTTTTTTTTTTTTACAAAAACAAAACTAAGACTTCATTAACTTCATGCTGTTAACTAAAGACAGACTTACCTGAGTTTTTTCTTTGAAGCAAAACAGATATCATTAATGTAGTCTATCTTTTTGCTAGAAAACCAGGTTAGCTTTTCTCCACATAACTTTCATTTCCAGGCCCTAAAAACAATTTATAGAGAGAGCAAATTTGCCATAAGCACAGCAACCAGCATATGTATCACGGAAAAGTTTCCATACACAGCGAAAACCTCGTGATTTGGTTTGGAAAACAAGTCACTTCAAAGTTGTGGAAAATAGGACCTGTTTCTGCCTCAAAGGCAAGATCTGCTTCCGATAGTCATTCTAGTTATTCTGCAACTATAACTAGCTCTCTGTGCATTACTTTGAGGTATTTATTGTGCAAGATCAGTTGAAAGTTAATACAACCTCAACAGGAAAAAAACTTTGTTCTTGAATTTGTTCGTAAAAGACAGCCATTCTTAATAGAAAACAGCTTTTGTTTTCCAAAACACATTTGAACTGTTTAATTATTGTTCCTAAAAATAAAGGCAATTTTATAGTAACAAATACAATCAAAAACATTGCAGCCTATGATTATCTATTGCGAGATAGAACCCCATTATTTGCCATCGTCAAATATTTAAAAAATGGGGGGAAATTAACCATAATAGTTAAAATTTTTACCCATATGAAAGGAAACTGGCCTGTCTTATGAGTTCCTTCTAACAAAACTATAATAGTTTCTGCTAGTTAGAGTCAAAGTTTTGTATTACGTGTATAAAACTATATGCACTTTAAAAAAACAGCTGCTTTGGCACATACAATCGCCTACATGACTCTCTCTATCTTCCCTTCAGGATTTAGTTTGATGTGTCCTTACGAATCAGCCCATCTGTCCCAATAGCTTCTTCCATGGCCGGCCAAGAACTTGGATTCCTCTATACACCAATAGTTCTAAGAGTCATTAAGCTCGACCCAAATTCCACTTCCCCAGAGCTTCTTGAGAGGCCTTCAAGAAATCTGTCCGACATTTGCTTTGTCCCTACCTTTCTTGCAAGGCTGGAGGTGACTGGAAGAAGTCAGTAAGAGCAGTGTGGCTGCCCTTTGGGAGATCCTGGCCCAGCGAGGAGCTGGGGGAGGGCACGGTGCAGGCAGCTAGAGGAAGAAAAGGAGGAATAATTTGTGTGCCACTGCAAATATGATACAGTGCCAAGAAAAACACCACTCTTCCCCAAGAAGTTTAAAGTTCTTTGCAAACATTAACTCATGAGACCAAGTAGTCATTGAGCAATTATTACTTTATTATGCCACTACAAGCAAAGTTACTAGGGAAGAGAGTTTATTCATTGTTTTGTTATTCCTCAAATATTTATTGAGTACCGACTATGTTTTGGGTACTGAAGCTAGAAGAGTAAGCAAGACAATGAGGCCTGTGCTCCTACAGGCTCTTACATTAGTCCATGCCCACCTGCTTGCTCAATCAGGGCTCTAAGCTCCTGGTTACACTACTTAATACACTTGTTTACACTTTATTTTGGCCAAAATTGTTTAATGGAATGTGCTCCGTTCTTCAGAATGTCCATAATGTGTTAAGCGCTAAGCAAACACAAAGAAAATAATTTTAAATTGACTGTAACTCTCATTACAATGATAGAAATTGGGGAATATTAATTCAAGGAGCTTTCTTTATAAGTAAACAAAGCTTTGTTGTGAGCAATACTGCCTCTTGAAATGTTTGTGGAAACACTGTAGGCAGACAAGGAGAGTTAAGATTGGTAATAACGTGTCAAGCAATTTATATAAATAATCTGGCTTTTAAAAATCGATCAATCAAATGAGCAGGCATGTTTGGTAAAGTCGAGAGCCTTTATCCGTGGATCTGTTTCTGATCTCCTTTTTATTTTATGTGACAAAATGGCAAGTCAGATATAGAAAATGACTTATGCCATCTCTAAATCCTTCTCCTTAGGTAATGAGCTCCAGATATTTTAGAGTATATGGTTATTTACGGCTAACTAGATCAAAAAGGCTGGTGGCTGCTTTATAAAACGGCACAACTTTTCTGATGATTTGAAAGGGATTTAAGCCATTGTGTTTTAAAGATGGAAGATAAGGATTCTAGTCTGTTCTCAGAGTCACTAACTCAACCCAGTTTGCACGGAACATAGAGGCTGTTGCAGTTTTTCACTGCAACAGCATATTTTAAAAGTTGGAGGGAATTACAATACCATCTAAAGTCCAACTTCCCTCCTTAATAAACACTTCCCTGACTAAACAGAATATCATAGAGGTATGATATTGATTCACTACTCAAGTGTATTAGTTAACACAGGTACCCAGTGAAATTCAAGCTCCATATCTTATCAATTAAAGAGCATCTTCATTTGGCCCCAAACTGCCTTTCCTGCTTCAGCCTCACCCTCCCTATTACTCTAGCCAAGGCAGATTTTTATAATTTTCACTTATAGTTATCTGATACCCTCTGCCTTGAAAGTTGCTCCCCTCGCACACTTTAACACGTGCACATGCGCGTGCGCGCGCACACACACACACACACACACACTTTGTCCACCTGGAAAATTATTCATTTCTCAAGGTCAGATGACATCTTCTGATTATTTCTTTCCCAATTCCCACAGCAGTATCTTATCTACATATTTATTTCTATAGGTATCTATTCTAACTAAAGCCTGAATATCTCATGTAGAAAGAGCATATCATATTCCTTTATATCTTCAGCAATTAGTTTTAAATCTTTGTTGAAGATGAGTTTACTACAAAACATCAATAGAGCACTTACTGAGGCTGGCACGGTGATTAATTACACTTGGGTTTACTCTGAAGCTGAAAGCACAAATAGGATGTTTAAAAACCCTTTATTAAGCAGAGCTGCTAATGAAGAGAATAAAATCAATTAAATAAATTATTAAGTTAAAATCATCTATTTTTTATTAAAGAGCTACTATATTAACATCAACACCATTGTCACTCAGCTTTTCACTCTTTAGATGGTCAATAATTCAAGAGCTGAGACCATATTCTCCTGCAATTATAATAACAGCACTGAAAACAGTAGACTTACTGAATTGCTGAAGGAGTCAAGAAACAGCTAACTGTTGAGAGCAATGACAATTCTAATTGAAATTACTTATTTCTGGTTTCAAGTCAAACAGGAGGAGAACAAGAAGAAAGAAATAGGGAATGGCTCAGAACAAAAGAGGAAAGGAGAAAAGGAAGGGATTAAATTGCTGTAAAAGATATCCTTTGACCTCGTTTTTGCCATTTTCATCTTTCTGAATATGAAAAATGTAGGCACTCTTATAGGTTGTACAAAACATACTGATAGGCAGTCGAAGATAAATACTCCTCAATAAAGAAGTTATTCTGTCTCTAGAGCTCTCACAAAAATTATTTTAAGGGCATCCTGCTTTCTTTCAATATGTTTAAGAAGGTTCCTTCCATTCTCTAAATTTGAAATATTGATAGCTTTTTCCTATATTTACCCAAAATAAATTTCAGGAAGTCAATAATTGAACAACGTTGCTCTGTACATTTGTGTGAACTTCTTGTAGGTACTGTATGTGTGTGCTCTTGTGGGAACCTGTGCATAGCGTGTATGTTAAAAACTTTACACTTTTTGTGGGTATGATAAAGTGCTTTTATGTATATTAGTAGCTCATTTGATCCTCACAGCAACCTTTTAGGTGGGTATGGTACTATACAGATGAAGAAACTGAGTCTCAGACAGATTAAGCATCTTGCAGAATTAATATACAAACACAAGCAGTCTGACAGTACCATCGAGGTTCTTTCTATCACATCATACTATGTGAATATTTTTTAAATTATTAGAGATGCAGCTTCAATTCTTTACATTTCTTTAAAAATGCTGGCACTGCATGTTTTGCACCTTTGTTTACTGAGCAAGAAATGTGCAAATGATACATATTTTTCCAAGATACTGGAAATCTCCTAAAAATCCACATGTCATTTAGGGGATACATTCCCTGATTAATTAGACCTGATCAACATGTAAGCAAATATTTATTTTCAGATTAAATGGAAAACTTTAACCATTAATTCTTTAGCAGGCAATGAAAATTCATTTTTTCTGCCAAAGCCAGCAGAGGGCAGGATATTTCCACCGACAGCCAGCTGGCTGGAGCAAGCCGCCAAGCAAACCAGTGGAACTCTGGTGAAAGACGTTCTGATATAAGAGCAATCATCATCATTTTTTCATCTGGATCTGAAAAAACGGTGTAGGCTTGAGCCGAGAATAAGGGCTGTGTGACGTGGCCTGGGAAATGTCAGGAAAAGTTTCGCTTTTGAGGCTGCCTACATTTTGTTTGGAATTAATTTTGAAGATACCTGGAAACTAGCCAATTCCAATTATCTTTCTGGAGTATCATACTAAGGAGGCTACACTGGAGAATGAATTTAAATATAGCACGATAATTTCTGTTTCTAGTTTTAAGCTGTCTCAAATCATAGCCGGGCTATTACACTCACATGCCCTGTCTCGGGTCCCCCAACTCAGCCCATCCTGCACCTACTATTTCTGTCCTTCAAAACTCCTAACAGTTCCCCATTCATGGCCTCCTTGGTCTGCCGTCACTGCACAGCCCCCACTGATAAGAGCAAATGACCTCCTTGCCACTAATTTAAGTCCTCTCTCCTTCCCCAGAGCCCACTCAGGGGCCACTTCCTCCAAGAAGTTTCTGGAGATCCTAACCTCGGTGATTATCATTAAGAAACTTGCATCAAGTGAACTGCTAGGTGAGGGTTTTGTACTAAGTCTTGGATCTAAAAAATTATGACCCATTCCTGTTAGTCCGGGTTGCAGCATGATAAATGAAAAATGGTAGGAAGAAAGGATAAATGCCACAGTTCACAGGAAAGTCTAACGAGTGCTTCTGAAGGTGGCAGAAAAATTGTAGCAACTTTTAGTTTTGAAACTATGGACTAGAAGTTTGTCATTGGTACCTCAAAAGTTTCCACAGCTGAGTGGCGTATGACTCTGCATCACTTGTCAACCCACTCCCCTCCCCTCAGTTTCCCCCAATCAGATGAGAGCGATTCCATTGTTACCTGTATTTTTTATGTACACCTGTAAGTACTGTATACAGATTTACTTTAAAGAAAAGAGGCCAGCAAAATTAAGCAAACAAAAAAATCTACTCATCAATAATCACTACAACAAAACAAATTCAAAAACAATTTTGAAAATCATTACTCAGCAATCCAAAGGCTTTTCTTTACTATCGAAGTAATCAAGCCTGGAGAGGAGGAAAGGCCTGAGATAGGTTATAGGATGGAGGGTGAGAGAACTGGGACCTGAATCCTTATATCCAGACTGTAAAGCCCAAGATGCTTTCTACTAAAGGCTGGGGCTTGCAGTGAGCCTGAAGAAGGGGAGGCATTAAAAAAGGATGAAACACTCAGTCACCTGTGGACAGAATGTTCCTACCAGCAGAGCTACTTGGAGCAAAGATAAGAGACAAAATGTGCTTGCATGGGCTTGACCAGCAAAAGAAGATTAAGGCTATGTTTTTCAGCACATTTACTGAACAATAACTATGTATAAGGCAATGCGTTGAGCACTGGGACAGAGCGGTGAATGAGATAGATGTGACACTTATTTGTGTTCATGGAGCTTACATTTTAGTGGGGGAGACAGACTTATGATAATAATTTAATGAATGCTACCATGGAGAAGTCTATGGTGGTATAAGAGTATTCGTAATCTCGATGACTCGCATCAATTCCTGGATTATTCATTTGGCCTCAGCTGTTTAATTACTCAAGCAATCATCTCTTCTAATAGCATAGAATCCTGCCTGGCTCTCCAGAGAGCTTCCCTCAAGCCCAGTCTCCTCCAATCTGGGACTGTTTCTCAGTCTTACCTTTTCTTTGGCTTTCATGATCTTAACACTTTTGAAAAGTTATTTTGTAGAATGTTCTTCAATTTGGGTTTGTCTGATGTTTCATCATGATTAAATGCAAGTTATGTGTTTTGGGCAAGAATATCACTGGAACGATGTTATGCCCTTCTTGTGAATCCTATGAGAAAGTCCATGATGTCGATGTGTCACATTTATATCTATTTTTATATCTACCTC